CTAGGGAACCACTACGATTCACTGAATACCACTGGCAAAGACTTCTCACCAGGGTCTCCACAGTCATCAGGGATTCTTTCCTTTAAATTGGAAACAGCAGTAAAAGCTCTTTCTCAATGAGGGCCAGTAAAATCCTTTTTTGGTACGGTAACAGACAGAGCAGACTCCTCAGGCAGGCTTGTTGTCTTCTTTGTCACCTTTAGTTCAGTGGAGTTTGTCCTCTATGTTAAAATGGCACAGGGGTTGTTTCAAAAAGTCAGAATCCAGCAATTTTAGAGAAGATGAGTTTGCATATCCTAACTACTCCTCTCTAAGGCAGTAGGGATACTTGATCTCATTCTTTGGAAAGGGACAGTAGGGTTCTAAAGAGGGTAGAAAACATTTACCAGGTACTATAGTTCTTTGAGATGTACTGTGGTTGTGCATATTCACCCTGAAGGGGCTCTGTGGACTTTTGAAGACAGAGATGGCAAGAAGTGAGTACATTTATGAACAGGATAACTTGAGAGCTTCAGTTAGTGGTAAGTAATTCTCTTTTCCATATTTAAGTGATTAACCATATATGCACATTCACATTGTGGATGACTTCCAAACAGTAACCCATTTTCCCCCAAAATCACAGCTGCCTGGATGTGGATCTTCATGTTTTTTATGCTCATAAAAGCTTCATCATCCTGAATGCCTCTGCAATGTAAAGTGCCAGTCCAGCTGAAGGTGCAGACAAGCTGCGTGTGACAACTTGTCAGCTGTCAGCAACAGAGACTTTTCTAGAGAGCCCAACAACACAGACTGTATGGATTTCTCATTTTGACAGTTGCAGTACAGCCTACTAGAACAGCCAAGGCAATGCTGCTTTCTTTCCACGACAATGACATGTTCCACGAGAATTCAAAGTCAGACAACAGGACCACCACTCTTTTCTCTGTCAGGGGTCAACAGCATATGCCTGACAGTTTAAAAATAGGAAAACACATGGTGATACTTCCCCGGAATACTTATCTGGCAGTTGGAGTCTTAAAAATGTCCTGTTTGTTTTCAGTTTTAATATTTAATATCCCTTAATAGATTTCTTTTTCATGAATTTGTCTGCTTGCCTTTTGAAGCCACAAACTTTTTGCATCCACAACATCTTGTGGCAAGGAGTGCTCCAGGTCAGTTACATACTGTGGAAGAAATCAGCCCTTTTTTCTTACTTTGAATCTGACATCTGCTCATTTCATTTGATGCTCCTCCTTCTTTTAGTGGGCAAAACAGTGAACAATCATTCTCTTTTCACCTTCTCCCTTACACTCTTCCTCACCCATATCTTTTCCAATTGAACAGTTTCTGCATGAAGAAAATTATGAATGTCGATTTTTCTGCTCTTGGCATACCCAATCTCAAGAACTGTCTGACAAGCCTGATTCTGCAGAGATAAAATAAGATCGTCCTGCTGCTTAGCACAGGCAATACAAGGTTCTAGAAAGAAGACAAGGAGGTCAGTCCCAGGTTTAAGTGAAACTCAGGAGCTGCTCTGGGGACAGATCAGGACAGATCTGTAGGAATAATGTGTCCAGAAAGAAAGAGTTTTAGATGCAGCAAATAACCTGTCAAAGGTTCAAACACTGGGCCCAGGATGGTCATGAGCAGCAAATGTAGGACTGATCAAAAAAAGTCCTTGGCAGTTTGATCAAGTAAACCTTAACAAAAATAAGTCAGAGACCAGTTTGCTTTAGTTTCCAGCAAATAACCCAGGATGACTGGAACCACTGTCTTAGTAAAAGGGACAGGCCTGAAAGAATACAAGCTAAGAATCTGGTCTGCTTTGTAAGCTCAACTGCAAGCTGATGATCCCCATCAAAGGTGAAGAAGAGAAATAGTCCAGCACTGCCAGCCATTCAAGTCCACGCATGAGAAGTCTATCCTTATTCTGGTATGAGGGAGAGGCACAGCATTGAGATTCCTACTAGCAAACAAACGTCTTGATACCAAAACCTCCTGCCACACTGTGGAACCAGTATTAGAGATGTGTATAGTAGCCTTCTAGACCTCAGAATGAGGTCATATCCAACAGACCATGCTTGTCCAAGAGAATATCTAGTCTTGAGGACAGAAATTTCAATAAGTCCCATTGGCATCCAAGACTAAGTAGTCTGTCTAGTGTCACAGCAGTATCTCCCATTGATGGCCCATCAGAAGGAAGCACTCACACCAGCTGTGAAGCTGTTTCAAGATCCAAGAAGATGAACCACATAAAAGCAGGCTTAAGACTTGATGTGCCAAGTAAAAGTCAACTGCTTCCAGAGGGGAAGCAATCTCATACCCCTCCCTTATGTCGTATGTTGTAGTGTGCTCATCGACTGAGCATAGTACCTTGGAATATGATGCCAAATGCTTGTATGAGCTTTGCATTTCCTTAACCTCCAGGACTCTGGTGTGCACCTTACTTCTTTCAAGACTAACAACCCTCATTCTTTGTTCTCTGAAACAAACTCTGTAACTTAGAGATGATGCAAACATCAAGGAGCAGGACAGAAGAAGAGAACACCTTGGTTATGTCATCCAGTCTCACCACTGAAGCAGATGCTGAAAGACTGTTGGGGGCTTTGTACTGGTAATTTCCTTTGACACAGTAAACAAAGGCACTTTTGATGAAACTCATTGATGAGTACAAGGAAGTAAATGTCATAAAAGCAAAGAGAAACAAACTAAACCCCATTTGAAGAGCAGGTAGATAATTGTATTACTCTGATATGCAACTATTATAAGTCCAAAGTGGTTCACCATTCTCCTTCCCTTCCCTCTCTTGTACCGTGGAAAGCCTTCTCTCTGAGATGCAGGGGATACAGTTCTATGCCTCCCTACTGAATCTCTTTACTGAAGCAAACTCTCTGGGAGATGTCATTGAAAAAGGACAGGTATGGGAGTAGCAGAGCGGCAAAGAAACAAAATAGGTATGTCATCTTCAGTTTGCAGTATCCAGTATGCACAAAGACATAGGTGGACCTCAGGCTGAGGAGTGGAGGGAGATAAAAAAATAAGAGACCAAGCTTGTTGGATTTGTTCCTGATTCTCTATTGCAGGTGCTCCCAAGATAATGACAGTTGTGCTGAGAGCTGGGATCAGCACATACCCAAGGCAATGGAATATCTGCCATTTCCTTTGATGGTTTGGCTGCCCTAGCATACCCGAGGCTGAAAAGAGTTCAAGGTTGCGGTATCTGGCTTGCAGTAAAGGACCAGTCTTGAAATCTTTGGGTTTTTTATTTGTTGGAAGCAGAAGAAATATTTTCCAGGGACACAGGATGCCAGACTTTGTTGTTTCTGAAGCTGACAAAATTCATCTCCTCAAAAGGAGGGTCTTAAACTGCAATGTATACTTCTCTGAACATTTCCAAACCTTAGAGGCAAGATGTCTGATATACTGCTACTTAGTCATCAAAGTTACAAATGTGGTGTTGGCTATATCCAACATACAATCCAAGAAGTTGAGAAAGCATGCTAGATATAACTGAGTACAACAGATTATCCCAAAATCAGTGGATGGGAGACTGGCAACGATAACAAAACAATCTATGTTCATACTAAGCCAGCAGTAGTTGGTAATTTGCCAGACAAAGATGGAAGAACACTGTTACTGCAAACAATCCTCCGAAGACGATCACCTTTCCTGAGCTAACTGTGCACTTAAATCTCTATCAACCAAACCTCTATACAGTTTTCAGAGGTGGCTGTGACAACCTGAGTGAAGAAACTAGAGAACAAAAACAGGGATGAGAGTTCTAAAAGGATGTACTTAATATCAAGATGAGACTACATCTGGTGACAGTACGGGCTGTATCCATGGCACAGATCTCAGAAGAGTTCAGAGCTAGTGCCTAAGCCATGCCTTCCCATGACAGAGAGAAGTAACTGCTATAGGCAAGAAGTGAGAAGGTTGGTTCTATATAGCTGCTTGATTTTGCACGTGAAACTCAGCAAAGTAAGGATATCTCGGATCATCTGGGAAGAAGTACGGAAGAAAATCAGTTATTTAAGGAAGCTAAATCTTGTAGGGAGATAGCTCCTAAAATAGTTGTGGAATAAAAAGTTGGAGGCTACAGACAATACCAAAGGTGGCAGAGTAGTCTACGGGAAAACAGACCCGAGGTCTTAATGGCCATAGCTGCTAAGGACCTGAATTTTGAAGAAGAATTTTGAAGTAATTAAAGAATTTTGAAGTAAAAACTTCTACAGCTGAATTTTTGACTAATGATGAGCTAACAACTTAATGGACAAGTAGAAACATCTATCTCAGAGATACTTAGGTGAAATTTGATGATTACAAAAGAGATAGGATTTGAAAATAAATTTACAAGCTGTGCTCTTACAAAATCTTGGTCACTGATGATTTGTGACGAGGTGTAGGCAGCAAACAAATGCTGTGGAGATTCTTGAAGGACACAGCTGCAAATGTAGAGAAAGTGAACAGGATCACGACTGTCCAGGAACTGAAAGAGAAGCCAAAGAAGTGAGAATGGAAAGAGCGACATCAGAGAACTGGATTTTGAACAATTGAAGTATTTGATCTCTGTCACATGTGTGAGTGGAACAGAAATAGCAAAATGCACATTCTGTCCTATGAATTCGTGCCTGGAGCAAAAGGCAGAGTGAAGCTAACAGAGCATGAACATGGTTTTTTCATCTTTTCACAATTTATCTGGTCTTGAATGACAGGAAGTATGCACACCCAAAGCGTGAACATGAACACAAACAATCATTCCAAGAGAAAACATATGTCCCATCTGACACTGTTTCTTTCTGTCATCCATTTGGGTTGATCACTATCCATTTGCCAACACATGAAAATGATCTCTTAGCACTGATTACACAGGGTAGAAATGACAGTAGAGCAGTGGAATGGAGAAACGGATCAAACAGACTGTTAGAATCCAGTCTCTGAGGGCTCTGATATAAACAATAAGAGTTTTTGTACTCCTTGAAAACACAGTCTCTTATAATCATACCACTTGCTGTTTGACAAGGGAGAAGTGGGAAAATAGTGTGAAAATCATGAGTTTTTTTCCTTTAACATGGCACCAAGAACAAGCCAAAGCTGAAGCTGCTTCCTGTACATTTTAAGGATGGGTGGATCTTCTCTCCAAAACAATTTCCAGCTGCTGATGTTGTCTAACACAACAAATTAAGTTTCATAGCATTAGGCAAATTTTAACTGGAGTGCTTCACCAAGCCACTATTGCAACTGATAGAAGCCACCTGGGCCTTAGGGTTCAAGCCTGGGTCTGAAAATATCAGCCAATTTGAAAAAGTTTATAAAGCATAAACAAGCAGAAATCAAAATACAAAAATAAGCTACACAGAATATAAGCATCCAACTGTGAAACATAATGACAGATTTAAAATCCTGTCCAATATAAGAGCAAATATTTTGAGGCTGAGAATTAATAACTGAAATTATAACCAAAACAAACACATGAAATGACTTTATTCAAACTGAGCATTTCCATGGCTCTGTGCCAAAATTCAAGATGGCAACCAACAAGAACGTCTCTAGTCATACGGTCTAACGTTCTTCTCTGCCGTTGGTTGCCATATAATGAGAGTAGAGAATCTTTCCTGTGACAAGACTAATACAGACTCAAATGGCTGAGCAGAAGAGATTTATGTTCAAACTTGGACCTTTGGAAGAACAATACAGACAGCTCGAGGACCTCTGTCTTACAAAAAGATGTTATGGGCAGTGATCAGGAAGAGATGTGAAGAAGGGACCCCAAAGCTCAGCAGCAGGAGCTGTCAGAGGTAACCATTCACCTCAGCTTGCACCTGTATCACCAGCTTCCACAGATGTTCAGGTACTCTCCTCTCCTCTCAGCAGGGGCTCCTCATCACCTGGGTGTTATGGGGAGTATGGTGGTATGAGCAGTCACTGCTGCTTTTTCCTTTGGCCCACACTTGGAAGCAATGCCCTGGATTCCTCACCTGGTGTTCAGTGTTACTTCTTCACTGTGAGTAGAGGCTGGAAAAAACACAAAGCAAAGCTTTTGAGCCATCACAGGGGAGTATATTGTGTGAAACACTGCTGCACTGGCCTGCAAGTCTCAGAACTAGCCACCAGCAGAAATCTGGTCTCCCTTTCATAGAACATCTCTCTACAGTAAGAAATGAGACCACAGATCAGTGTGACAGACCTAACTTCATGAGCTACTGCCTGAAAAAGTAATCTTTGTATTCTTCTCAAGCCTCAAATACCATTTTCACTGTTTCCCAACCTCAGTCATCTCTTCACGTGCTCCTCCAGTAACTCTTTCC